GTACAGAATGGTTAGTAAAGTATATTTACATTCTCCTTTTGTTGTTACTTCTTGTTTCATACAGCAATTGTAGCGACTTCAACACTGAGCTTTGCAACTCTCTGCCGCAGGCAGCTCCTGTTCGTCGTCGAGTGAATAATGCGCATGCGCGGTTTTTCTTGGGGAAACATTCTAACTAAGCATGCTTATGCAACAGGTTTTCGGTCAGAAAGCGTAACGGTCGTACATACAAACAAGCAGAATAATAATATAGACTTCCCCAAAACAGAACGTTCTCCATCTTTACGATAGTAGAAATGCTAAAGAAATTGAGTATGTTATATTAAAAACAAGCAAAAGTATCCGCCCATAATGACGGGAAAAGTTTAAGTTAATATATCAACTTAGATTATTTCATGGACTTTAAAAAGGTTAATTTGTTGCACTTTCGGTTTCACTCAGAGCCAAAAGCTTTTTTATTGAGAAATAAAATTTGGCATCAACATTATTCATGCCTGTTTTCCCATCATTTCAAAAGTGAATGTGGAGCTTTATCTTTGTGCGCAGCTTTTCAGACTGGAGACAGACGAACACTCGAACAGACACCATGGTTCTCAATATATATAAGATATTTTGGAGCTTCACCACGTTGTTGCAGTTCATGTCGCTGTGTCCAGTCATGCTCTATCTGGCAACCGTGCGATTTAACAATCCCTCTTCAATGTAGTTTTAATTCAGAAAGCTCCGTCACAAGTTTTTTATGATCCAAAAACGCCCCTCTTCTTTACACGTTTTCCATAATCCGTCCAGTGTACGAGGATGACGGGTTTACAAGGGTACGTTTTAACAGTCTGATTGCATAAAAATCTATAGGTGTTGCGTTTGGCGACTTGACAGATATATCTTCGTACAAAGTAGCATAAATATCAATTTCATTCTCCAGCTGCTTGAGGTATGTGGAGGTTGAACGAGTATTTCATGAAAGCAACTGGTGTACACCAGACTTGTGTCACTTTTACATATGGAAATCCTTTTTGATTATGCTGCGTACTGTTACTTGAATAAAGTCTGTAAACGGCTTTTGCCTCAGGTTTTTGAGTTCGTGGATCCGTACGTTGCTTGCCACAGTTGGAGTACGACTTTTTGCAGGTCTCTTTATGTATGGTCCTAATTTACCAGGCTGATCCATGATCCTTTGTTTTTAATGCTGTTAAGTACAAGGAATATCCCCGTCTTGAAATTCTAAATCCCCATTTTGAACACATCTTTATGATCTGAGTGTATGAATATCTTGCGTCAGCGAGGGTTGTTACATATCCTTCACCAAATCGATTAGTTTTCGGTGGCATCACATGACCTGCGCAATAATAAACAATGTAAAACTGTAGTTCTGATACATGCTCTTCCACTACTTTGGTTGTTACTTAACATGATGAACTGTATTTTCAAATCGTTTAATACAACATACTCAATTTTCTGTATAAAATATACACGAGTAGGTTCAGTTTCTGCTTAGAATTATATGGTTAAGTGTTTATATTTGAAATACTTTGAATTACACCTTTTAACTGAACTTGTTCCGAACTCAAGCATGTTATTACTAACTGTTTTGTACCATTACAATGATTAAACTTATCCTAATTTGCCTTCAAAGCAAATGTTGCGTATTACACCTCCAGAAAAAAAAAAACATTATTGTATAATAATAGTAGTAGAAAAATTATAGTTGTCGTAAAAAAATTAATTAATACAAAAAGAAAGCTTAAACTTGTAGTTAGGTTCAGAAATGTAATGAGTGTTTAATGACTAATTTCAAGCAAGTTACACAAAGCACACGCTCTAAAGTGGCAAGGCAGTTTTATAATTAGTTTAAAAACAAAATTAAAACGAACGCTATTAAGAACACTAATCGATTATTATTTTAACGAACCCAAAATAAACCTAATGTTTATTTTAAATAGTAGTACTGACGAGGATAGTAATAATTGGTCTGTGAGTCATCATTGTGTTAAAACACACTAGGCTGGTGACTGAAAAAAAATCAACCATGAGTCGTCGTCATATGTGAAGTAAAGTATCACGAAGTTAATAAAACATTATCGCATAAGAATGTAAACTCCAGAAGGAAAGGAAAACATACAGATAATCGTTATCTAGGAAAGTAATCTCTTTCTTCTGTTTGATCAGTACAGCAATTTTAATATAGAAAGTACGTAGATACTAATACGAAAAGTCCAAGGTACTAAGGAATTGCAACTGTCTTTCATATTGGTACGTTATCTTTTGCCATTGTTTCTAAAATGTGTTAAAAGATGGCGCTAGCCCATATCTTTTTCAAAGAAACGTTTTAACAGACTGAAGGTTTTGGCATGCTTTCTTGAATTGTAGTACTAATCTACTTTAGGAATGCGTGTAAGGAAATTGTTTTGCCCCCCCCCCCAAATGAAAAAAGAAAAGAAAGCAGCATAAAGCTCAATAGAAAGTATTCGGGCTACAGATAAGTTTAATGATGACAAAGAAGTGAAACAAATGATAATAATAAAAGAAAAAGTCGGTACAATTACCCTTTTTAATTTTTGCATAACATAGAAAGACTTAACGACAGAACCTAAAACACTAAACGCCTTTTGGCATGCAACTTCCATTTTCTTAGACAGTGAAAAACAATTGTATTCACTTTTATGTTGAACAAAAATACATGTATAATTATACATAACCACAGAAAGAAGAAAAATCCCACAGGGCCTACCAAGAGCTTCAAAGTTCAATAAAAGTTCTATAACATTGTGCAGTGTTATTTTTCAGCTGATCCAGTTTTTATGATATTTTATTACATAGTCTATCAACGAATTATTTAAAAAAAACGTATAATAAGTACTCATACATTTCAAAAAAATGTCTAAACTTTTTAACACGAATTTGTTTATATATATGAAAAAGATTTCTGACATTGCTACACCACAAAATAATTCAAACAAATAGCTTGTTGAATGTTTCCAGTTTCATATAAACTTAACAAGCTAGTCTTAACATCCTTTACAGTGTATGCTTAGAAACATGATTCTTTCCTAGTTTAGTTTATATCTATCTGATTGTTTGGATTTTCAAAGCCGAAGAACACCAAAACACCGCAATAAGTATGTCCTTGTGAAAAGTTTAAAAATCAACAAAACAACAACGTTACTTTTTTCTAAACTCTACAGGATGAGGAACTATAAAGAGTTTTTTTTTCTGTAACTTTTTAGGCGTTGTATTTAACTTCTACAACATATGAAGATGCTTATTTTGTTATTCTTTTTTATGCGCTGGTTGACGTTTTTTTTCCTTTTTTATTATCAATCATCTTGATTACACTTATATCTTTCAATAAAAGCTCTGATGTTATATCATTAATATATTTACAAAGTATAAGTTAAGTTAGTTTAGATATTCGTGATCACATTATCTGTTGTGTCTACACCTCACAACACGAACTACTGAAATGTCAGTTTGTTTGTTTGTTATTAAGCACAAAGCTACACAATGGGCTATCTGTGCTCTGCCCACCACGGGTATCGAAACCCGGATTTTAGCGTTGTAAGTCCGCAGACATACCGCTGTACCACTGGGGGGGGGCCTGAAATGTCAGAAATAATATTTGCATTATTAGAATTACAGCACATATTACAAGTAATTAATAGTTCTATAGAAATGCAACCAGAAAAAAATAGCGACAAATAATTACGTTAAAATTATCCTATCAAAATATGAAATCTATTTTTATATTAGAAACTCATCTATAGTGTTTTTATATGTGTACTATATTATACATTATTTAAAAAATTGGATTTTTCATTAATGAAAACGTGCTTTCTTGTGAAAAGACGTCATTTTTGTGTAAATAGGTGAGGTGTGACCTAGTAAGATGTAGTTGGCTCTGTTTTATTTATCCTTATCCAAAAATAAATGAATGTGTTTCAACATATTACTCTCGCACAACTATGAATTTTCAACTGCCACCCCAGCAGGCTACCCCACGCACTACCCACCTTTTTCGCTCGCGTCCTATTTCCTTCCGAGTAGATTATGGATGACTACGATACAGAAACTGACAAGTGAGGGCGCTGCCATCAAGAAGCAGCCAATCGCCAGATTTTCCAGAAGAGAGACATGGTCCGTAAAAACACCGGTCTGCAGACATCACTGCTACAATCATCTTCTTCGTGATAGTTCGGTTACAGTAATATGTTTCTTCTTTTATCATGACCGATATATAAACTGTATCATGCACGTGTGCGTTTTCTGCGAACAATATTACATTAAATGGTGTAAGTTTTAAGGTTAACGTATAAGTTGAAGTTCTTTGTTTTATTAGTGTCGTCTGTTAGCTATTTGTGGGACATAGACCTGCGCTATTTGCATAATCCAAGGTATTTTGTTTGGTGTTGTTTTAAGACGAAATGAGTTAGTTCATCCCAAACTTTCAAGGAAAAATACGGTTGAGAAAAAATAGTTAGGATCTTAATGTATGGCAACCAACCTTGACAGTTTGGAACCATTTGAAACCGATAGTTTAAGTAACTTAACTGCAGGACTGAAAATGAAGGAGCCTCCAGTAACAACGGCAACTAATGGAGACAGGAATTATCGTCTGGAAGACTTTGAAAAGAAGAAGACAATAGGTTTGAAAATAATCATTTTTTTTTCTTTATTCACTTTCATATTGCAATTCCTGAGTACTTACTCCATTGTAAAATAAGACTTGCCGAAACTTGTATGCGAGCACTAATTCAATAATTAGTTTAATTTGCTAGTGATATCTTGGTTTTTATTTATATGAACAATTTTTGGATGAGTTTACTCAAATTGTACATTATTTACTGTAGAACCAAATGGTGTATTTAAATAACTCACTCGTAGGACATCGTAAACACGATTATGTATGTAAACCATTCACACAGCTTTTCACAAGTTCTGCATAACGTTTTAAGTTAAGATATCTCTTCACAACTTATTCGAGATGTGTCATTGATATGTTCGTTGTGCAGTGATCAGACTTCCATATGAGGTAATTTGGAATTTAATCCATATTTCTTAACACCTTTAAGCTATCGAAAGCTGTTCATTATTTTTTTCTTAAGAGTAACATAATTATTTTCATTGTTTTTACTTGCACATAGCACCATAGCTATAATGATGTTACACATTTTCGTAGTTAACTTATGATGATCAAAGTAGGTAAGGAGTTATTAAACTAAAAATCTAATTTACCACATCAATGCACTATAATAATTTTTAGCACCTGTTATATTATAATACACTTCTATTGTCTGCTGTAGAATTACTGATTTCAGCATTGCAAGATCGTAAACTTATTGCTGTTCCAGCGGGTAACAATACACTTCTATACTGGCTGGCCACTTTAATATGGCCCTCATATATATATTCGAGTTGTAGTTATATCCTGGTTAGTTAGCAAGACAATGGGTAAGAGCAAGGCTTATTTCAACTTTCAAAGAGGGTATGATATTTGGTCTCGGCCTGATAAGAACGTTTTTATCAATTGCCATTACTTTAAATAGCCCGTTCTTTAAAGTGTCTGACTTCAGAGTAACTAAATAATCGATAAGGAATACATCTTCCAATAGGAAACTATAGTTTTCAACAGCTGATGACAAACTGAAAGAAGACAACCGGAGAGGCTGTAAGATAAAATATATTTTTTTGTTGTGTCTCAATTGGCCAATTCCTTTGACATTGGATAGGATTTGATTAGTTCCATTGGCACCATACCAAGAATATTTCAAAACTGTAATATCGTCAGGTTCAAAAATTACGTATTTCAGTTGCTAGTAAGAAAACATGGTTTCATGTGTGTTTAGTAAAATCTATAGAAGCATGCGAGTTGAGTTGCACTGTGCCTTTTATTTTACAATTGACAGAGAAAAACTTGCGAAGTAAACTATATGAAATAATTAACCTTGCTTGTGGAACTCTTGGTGGTGGTGGTGTAAGGGTGTGGGGTACTTCTAGTAGGGCTTGGTTAATTTGACTTTTTAAAAGAATATAACATTATTATCGAATATTCCCACTCCAAAACTTATTCCGATCCTGATAGACAGTAACTCTTTCATAAATGAAATGCAACAATCCATCGCACTCGTATTGTTTGAAATTGGTTTGAGGCGCAATCATACATAATATATATTTAATCTGTAAAATCACCAGACCACATTCCGATTGAGTATCTTTGGGAATGAATCTGACATTTGTCATCGTACATCGCTGCTGACATGCACTTGTACTCCTTGAATAATTAGCTACAATCTAACTTAAATCTTCTAAGCATCTTGTGGAGTTAATTACACACTAAGTGATAGCTATTAATTACCAAGTAGGTAGATATTAAAAAATGTTGCTAATAATTTGTAATAGCTATAACGCAAAAAAAAATAGGACGAAAAAGGTTACGATATTACGCTTTCTAACAACATAAATAAGACTCTGTAAACTGGCTACTAAAACTCGTTGTTTTAATTATGTAAGCAAAAATACGTAGCTACATTCTAATATGTATAAGAAAATGCAGACTTAGATTAACTGTTGGTAAGAGGACATGATCGGAAAGGTTTTTACTGTCGAACATCTTACTTTGAATATTGTTTTGATGACGTTTCGGGAAATTTGCATGTCCTTTCTTCAGGACGGTGAGATATGTTATAACCTTCTGAAGTTCTGACACGTTCCTAGTTGAGGGCTCTTGCGTGATCTATTTTCCTATTGGCTGGGGAAAATATATTCAGTTCAATTAATTTCTAACTAGGGATACTGTAATAAATTGAACATCTTGATCCACATAAGCTAGCAACAAGAAGCGAAAAAGATCTTGGTAGCACGTTAATTAATAAACAATCTATGTATCTGGAAGGTTTTGTCGTTAGACATGCACTGTATTTTGACTGACACGAAACGTTTGTACTTATTCCTCTACTTTCACTACACGATAAATCATGGTTACAAAAAATCTGCTAATATTTTAATTAATTTTGGATACAAAATAAATCCTTCGATAATTTTGCATGTATAATTGGTTAATGTGCCTTCAAGATTTTTAGTCTTTTCAGTTTATTTTTATATGAAACGTAAGGAATACGGATCCAAGTAGAATAAACACCAGCTTACGAATGATGCAAAACAGTTTTTCTTACTTGCGGTACTTATGCTTTGGAGCTTAACTTTTAATGAGCCTGTTTGAATGGCTTTACAGTTGCTAGAATAAGTACACTACGTCGCTAACTTACATATTTGTCAGCAAAAGTACCTTCTTACGTTTTGTCGTCTTTCAAAATTTGTAGTGAATACTGGGGGTGACTTACACATCTTGATGAAAGCTTAGAAGTTTTTTTTTATTTGAACCAATGTTTCGCCGTTGCGAAACTGTATATAGTAAACCTGATAAAGTCGCAAAGGCAAAACGTTGGTTAAAGTAAAGTTCCTGTATATCTGGAGTATAAAGGCCGTTTTTTCTAAACTTGCATTTTGAGCTATCAATCGAACTAGCTGTTTGAATTTTTTTTATTTTTATATGAAACGTATATTTATTTATTTTTTCAAAGACAAGAAAATAAGCCTCAAGAAATCTTGTCAGTAAGATTCATCTTTTTACGTAGAGAAAAGAAATTCAAATTGCCATTTCTTAAATTAATTTTCAACACTGGACAAAATTCTTATCCGTAGCCCTAACAACCGATAACTTTCATTGTCTGTAGAGCACTTAGTCGATTTGTAGCACTAATGTTTTTCCTGAATAAATACTAGTCGAACTTAATTTTAGCGTTCTCTTGCTTATTACGTTTTTATCTTTCGAATATATGAATACAATGATTAAAATTATATTAGTATATTAAGAAGAAAAAAACAAACAACAACCTTAGTTCTTCTTGACTAATCATTACTTACTCACGCCAGTGAGATGAGAGGGGGGGGAGGCAACATTGCTATCATGGTGTGTTTCCACGTAAGGTTTTGAAGACTGTAATGCTTGAGGAAACACCATTTCTGCCAGTAAAACCAAGTTAATGACCATATTTTACAGTCGATCATTAATTCAGCTTCATTTCACTCGGTCGGTAGAAATTGAGAAATTCACGAGTCTGGAAGAGTTGGTACGATTTACCGGGTATATTTATTTTTGTATATTTTACTAGGGAGTCGTTGATATACCGAAGTTATATTACAACATGCGTCTAAGTAAAGTCGGTTAAACCAGCCCATGCACTATGCACGTGCATTTAGGGCTTTAAACAGCTGTAGACACTTTCAACGCTGTACAACGAGAACGCAAGCACAATTCTTTCCTCATTTCTCCTGCCTTCCAGTTGAACGAACAAGACTGCTCGCGAAGTATTCAGAGCTGTCAAAAAAAAAAAACGAACAAGACTGCTCGCGAAGTATTCAGAGCTGTCAAAAAAAAAAAAAAAAAGTTGCGAAGAAAAAATACCAGCACACAAACTTATTCGCTACTTGAAACGAAAACGCTCATATTTTCGCCAAATGACTTAATTTTTTCCCGAGGACAAGAGTCGTACATTTTATCGATAACTGTTAAATCTTAGGCCTTTCACTTGTAACACTGCAGTGCTGTACAAAGTAAACACAACAATATTACCATACATCTCGAATGGGGGTAAGTATAGAACAAGAAAAAAATAAACGGATACAAAGATTCATATTATAAGGAGTGACCAGTGAAAATGTTGGTTTATAAACAAGCCATCTTGATGAGTGACAAAGACGCCGTTATGAAATTTGCAAACCGTTTTGAACATACTTGGAGAACGTTCATCCAGAGTAAGGCTACAAAAGATGCACATGAAGAATTATTAACAAACAGCTTCTAGTTATATGTATAATTTTCTCTCAAAGCGATAAGAAAACATCGGAATACATAGGCGGCGAGTGAGGCTTTTGGGTAAGCTATACTGTCACATCTACTGTGGAAAAAAAAAAAATTGAGCTGGTGAGAAGAATACTCTAAGAAAACTTTTATTTGAGAGGGGGGCGGCTGAGCATTCTCAAGCCTCTTGCACTTGCCGCCCCTATTATAATTGTTCAAAATAGTATGACCTTTGGAAAGAAGGTGAGCTTTTATTTAACAGTTATACTGGTTAACAAAGATTTCCTCCAAGGGTAAAATAGCTCAATTTTATTGGATATAAAAGTATGAATAAAATATATTTGGTTTCTTTGTATCTCATAATTTTAAGGATAATGCCCCTGCAACTATGTATCTATAAAAGACAAATTACTTGTTTAGTATACTTAATGCACACATGCCATTGACATTATAGCCGATAGGAAATTCATAACAAAACATTATATGCTTTTGTCGAACAGTAAATTATCTTTTCTCCGAAAGGGGGCCGAAGATCGTCTGGAGAGATCACTTATTTTAACCACCAGCACTATTATACACTAATGTATTGTCTGTCAGTCAGTCAGTAGAAAATAAAATGACGCTACATATCGTAGTTTTAATTAGTTATTTACTGTACTCGCTCCTGCCATGTGCACGTGTCTCGCTTGCTATACAGCGTAAATATAGTAAATGTGGTCACCAAACTACTTTGTCTGTTCTTTGCTTTTAAAATAATCAATAAATTGTTTGTCAGAAGACTGTTTT